ATATTTTACTACCCTTCTCGTTCTTTTCGATTTTCCAAGAAGTAGTTTTATTTGCCTGACAGGCAATGTTCCCTACATGGTTTTGATACTCTCATATTTCTGTAAGTACGTCCTCAAGAAAGGCATACTTCTCGGTCAATCATTTCCCAAGATGTTATTGTATGGTCAGCCCATATAGAATATGTGTGACAGCATTGCATAGCCGCGATGAGCTTTTTGTGATCTTGCCTATACAAAGAACGACAATGGGTTTCTATGGCAAACTGATGCCATCTGTTCTCCTGGAAAAATGTTCAAAAACATTTCAATTTTTCAATTCTTTTAACAGTGAGGTTCTAAAAAATATGCTCTATAGTGAAGAAGCCAAATGGCGTGGCTTTAATAAATACAGCGAGACCGAAAATATGTCTGAATTTTCGCCCGGGTTAACTATTTATTTCTGAAAATCGTAAACCATCCCCATTCATCCCTACTTTTGCCATGTGCTAATTGCATATTTGGACTCTCATCATTATTTGCTAAATGGTTCTATCTCATCCGACAACTTCCTTCGCTTTTCAGTATAGCCATGTTTTTTACTCGAGAATGTTGATGTATCAAGAGCGTTGTCATTTTTGCAAATCAGATATTCTTTGGGTCTGACTTCAAATCGCTATTGTTTTACTCAAATAATAACATCTCATCTATATGTGGACACTTTCCATGAAGATTTATTGGTTCTAGTATGGTTCTAGAACTGCAGGCGCGCTCGCTTGGACCTTTATTGGGTTGTCGCGAATGTATTGATCCCGATTATTACCTCAATTACAATCACATAGGCGTTATGTAATCCGTCGATATTATTCAACGAACAATCGTTGCTGTGTAACTCACAATGAGCACAAAATCCAGTTTTTAGAAAGTCAGCTAGAGTTGTCTGACAATGAGCACTGCGACAGCGTCATCACCTCCAGCGCGGGTACGAGAGGGATTTCCTCCAAGATCATCGTCCGCTAACAGTCTCGCCTCAACAGGTATGTAAGTATAAAGGTCCTACTTTATTATTCTTTTTCTATGTTTATCTCACTCGTAGTGTTAGATTGCAGACGCGTCACCTCTTGAAGCTCTGAAAGCGGCAGGTTCGCTGCAGCCGGCCACCAGATTTGCCCTAGCTGACCTCTCCGCATGTGTGCTACGCCTCGACTTCTGGGATGATGAGGAACCAGGAAGCATGTAAGGATGACTATTTTAGAAGCTAGCTCTACTACTCAATCAAGATTATTTCTAGATTCTTCTCAAAAGTGGCTTTTGAAATAGTTGTTAACCAGTTGGAGATTCC